TTTTTTTTGGTTTTTATTTAATAATAATATAATTAATTAGGAGCTAGTTGAGGACAAAAAGTTTACTATTTACTTTGACTGTCGTTTCACTTTTTCAACCGCAGTAAAAAATAAAAAAAATAGCTACAGAGAGACGTACAATTTAGCCGTTATTTTAATGTTTTAGGTTGTAGGCGTGCGGATTATAATTTAATTATTGTTGGCATTACGAGGCCTTGTGTCATGTAAAATGTTGTCTTAGTACAAGAATGCCCTTTTTCCTCGTTCTATATATATATGAACTTGTTTTGATGGGATAATTATTAATTAGAGAGAGACCATACGAGAAATGCTAAAAAAGCCGTATAGAATCATTTCGTCGAAATTTATAAGTAATTAAATCATCATCTAATCGTCAGATATAATTGATCTAACGGTTATAAATTTCGATAGAATGATTCCGTAATTGAACCGTAGCATCTTCCGATACCATATATATTACCATCACATATGGGCCTATGGGGTATTTGTGAAAATATCTGTCATAGAAATTAAACTTATTTTTTCTTTTATTATTATTTAGGCTCATTTTTTTATCACTTCATTTTTTATATAATTATATAATTCACATCTCCCAATTTTGAAATATATTACTAACTTCGGTTCTTTTTTTTTTTTTTTTTCACATTTTGCTAAAATATATTACTAAATTATTGGCATTATTTTTTGGAATATTGCAATCACATGACTTGTTAAAATATACAAATGAGTATTCGGATCGAGCATTGGTTTCATCTAGCCGAGCTCGAGTTTGTTGTGCTACTATTCTTGCTCATTTTTTTAATTATGGCTCTATTCAACTCGTTTAAATATACAAATGTTCGACATCTGTCAAAGGTCTACCCAAATTTCATTAGCTCAAAATTTGTTCGAGTTCAACCTGAAATTTCAATAAAAAATTTATGCTCAAATAAACACTTTTTTTTTTCAAAATTTGGCTCAATTTTAGCTCGAGTTGTGCTCCAATTGAGGTATTTGGGTAATTTGATTTTTCACTGTGTATTTGTTTAACAATTAACAGAAACTCGAGTACCCACGAACCATATCACTAGCGCTTCATAATAATTGTACTAATATATATATATATATATTTTCCTATATATGAGACTTATTATTATTTTCTGATGATGATTATATATGTATTGACTTCTTCACGACATGTTTGATACTGGTATATATATAAGCACATGTTACAGTTACATGACTCTCATTAATTATAATAAACAATATAAAAAGAATGAGAATGGAATAAGTTATGGTTTGTTGAAGATAATTGATCAAATAATAAAGAAAATCAAATTATTCCTATCACAACGCACCAACTAATTATACAATATAATTTTGATCCATTATAATATTCATTAATTTATTATGTCTAAACGGAAATTCTGTTACACCCAAACCAACCGTTAGATGTGTCGATCGTCATAATATATGAAAACAATATATTTTTATACCATTTAATGTTATTATTTTGCAATATTAATTTTATTTTTCTTGAATATAATAATAATAATAATAATAATAATAATAATAATAATAATAATAATAATAATAGTGTGCATATTAATATATCGGTCTCACACACTACAAGAAAATTATGAAAATTTCAACGAAAATATAATCCATTTAAATTCCAAAGGAATTTATAGTGTAAGTATTTCCGTAGACATTTTGCAACGGCATTCCAACAAAAAATCCGCAAGTCTATCATTGGAATGAGTATTGATTAGAGTATCCACAATACTTTAGGTTTAATCACAAAAAATTATATACCACCTAAAGAATAAACTCATTCTAAAAAATATATTTTCTAATGCAAATAAGTAGACTGTGTTTTACTGATATAGCAGTAAAAAAAAAAAAACAGAGACTGAGTCTAACCTTAAGTCTATTTTAGACGCAAGCAGAGACATAGTCTCTTTGCATTGGAGTGAATTTTGTTAATTTTACATAGTTTTATCCATGTCATCCAAGACTTAGATTTATTTATATGCCACACAGGCGAAAACTAGGCCCATGCATTGTAGATGCTCTTAGAAATTCCCGTTGAATTTTGATAATTTTCCAACGGCATTTATATTTTCCAACAGTTGAAATATGGGTAGAAACAAAAATTCCAACCGAAAATCGCATATTCTAACGGAAATTCTTTTGGTAATAAATAGTTGGAAAAACGGTTATTTGAATCATCAAATTCAAATTAAACTTCCAATAGAAAATTCATTTCAACAGAACATATCCGTTAGATTTATTCCAACGAAAGCTATATAATTGGTATATTCATTGAAATTTGCACTGAAATACATTACGATTAAATACACTTTTTTCTTATAGTGAAACTGTGAAAGCTTACATAACAACTGTTCATTTATAAATGCCCTCCATATTCCAATCTAAATTAAATATATATATACAAAAATTATGTAAGTGTGGCATTTCTTGTGTCCTTCACCTACTGGCTCGTCCCTTTGGGGATATCCTATAAAATTAGTACGATACAGAGAAGATTAATATGACCCATGCGCATGGATGACACGCATAAATCGAGAAATGGTCACCTATGGGCTCATTTTTTATTTTTTATTCATTTCTCTGGACATAAAATACAGAAATATACAAATTAATTAGTTTGCATTAAAATAGAATATCTCATAACAAGACTCAAGAAAATTAAACTAACTCATGCATGATGCATGCCACGACATGCCAATCTCTTGACGACTTTCATTTCTGGACAAACACAAGAGAATCCAAAGAAAAGCCATATCCAACTACTTATGTATATAATAAAATTTCATTTTTTTATTTTTTTATTTTTTATTTTTTTTGTCCTAGCACCAACTAACAATTATTTGATTAGAAGCCCATAAATAAATAAATAATATAAAAAAAAGCCCATACACTAGTTTGGTTGCGCTCCATTTTATTTATTTATGTGTGGTTAGATTGCAATTATATATGATTTAATAATTATGTTCAATATAATTGGTTATTATTTGCCTAATTTCGATCAAAGAAAAAAAAGAAATGAATTATTTTTGTAAGTTTTTGTTTGCCCTATTCTCAATATTGGGTAGGATTATTGTAAGCTAGAGAGGTAACATCCGCTAATTATTTAAAGCATAAATAAGAACCTTTATTAGGACAAACTTGACGACTGCTATGTTGTGTTTTTGCTGGACTTGCTTTTTATCGAAGATAATTTTAAATTATGAAAGTCTTCATGAGGTGAGTTCAGTTTTCGTTATCGAACCATTTTGTCGGGTGTTTGTAGATTAATTATCTCCGACAGTTATATGATGATTTAACGATTACAAATCCCAACAGAATTGTTCCGTTACGAGATAACCCATTTGCATGGATGCTTAATTAATTAAATATAAGTTTATTATTATTTTAATAATCGTCATCGATAGAGACAAATCCGGATTAAGCGGTGATCGGACAAAGGCAGCTTAGGGACCACCACATCGATCAATAGGCATAGCTAATTTTTGAATAGTTCTATGTAATTAATTAATAAGCACGAAAATTAAAAGACCATGTAACTAGCATACGTATATATTGGGTTATTTATATATTAATTTATTGTTTAATTTGGTTTATAATTATGGGAAATGATATGGTCCCGTTACGGAACTATTCCGTCGGGGTTTTTAATCGTTAGATTATTATGTAATCGTCAGAGATAGTTGATTTAACGGTTACAAACTCCGACGAAATGGTTCTGTGACGAGACAGTAACATCTTCGGAGTTGAAACATTCGAATGTTCCTAACTTTTGAGGCAACAAGATCCGACTCATTGAATCATGAATTAATGGAGTTAAAATGTTGATTCTTCAACAATTAATCCAACTAATTTCAAAAGTTATTCGAACCAAAAATGGCAGGACGTGAGTTTGGTTGCTAGAGTTCCTTCAGTTTCGTCATAATTATTGGCTTGTGATTGACCCTAGGATTGCCGGTACTGTTTTTGGTGTCTTTTCATTTTGTAGAGTCGAGCTTCTTAAAGTTTAGTTTTTAATTTGTTTATTCATTTCATTGTTCTTACTAAGTTTAACATGTTTTGTGATTTTGTTGTCTGTTGGCGGAATATATGTGTTTGTAGTTTTTAGTCGACATTTCGACCTTGGGTCGTGTTTTTCATGTCTTTTGAGGAAGACTGTTTGGAATTAAGTTCAAGCAACAACCGATCATAAATAACGAAATTTTAAACATAAACACTCTACTTGCAAAGTTGGGTCGTCTTATGGAGGAAGGAGAGAAGGAAAACTAAGCAAATTATTTTCACGCAAAAGTTGTGCTTACAATGACTATTAAAGTGTATTTATAATCCACAATAGTTTAGTTCACACATTGGGCGCGTGCGCACACACACACAATAAGCTCTTGGAAAGCTTTGTGATAGCACAAGCTCGCACTGATAGGCATTTTGCTTGATTGAAAACTCGTCGACGTCTAGCATGGATGGTGAGGCAAGCAGGCACGTGCATGGCGAGACGCTCAGCGGCTGGCGAACAATGCACTCGGGAGCTGCGAACAAACTCGCCCGCCGCGAATTCTCATAATGGTTGTTGGGCCTGTCGGGCGCACTCGTAGCTGTGTGTTTGTCCGTACGCAGAGAGCGACGCACTCGCGGGGGATATGGACCACGACTTGTGGGGCCAATGTCGAGGAGCAAGACACAACAACTATCCTCGGCTAGGTATATTGTGTTGCGCACAAGATGTTGTCTTGAACTCAGAGGCAATGGTTAGGGCTCGCGCGTTCTTTTATGTTTTTGTTATAATTTTGTGTGTTTTATGTATTTATTTGTGCTCGTTTTGGTTTATTTTAGGTTTTCCCAGTGCATATTGTCGTCTTTGCTCATTTTTGTATTTTTCGTGTCGTCTTGGTGTCTTATGCTTTTTATTTCTCATTTTTATACTTTATTTTGTAGAAAAATTGCATTATAGAGAGTTATCCAAGAAAACCCCCTTTTTTTTGGATGAAAGACGAGCCGTTAGCGAGAAGACCTAGGTCTCATTGACCAGTACCCGCATCTGTTGTCGAGCAAACGTAAGTCTCATTGCCCATTACCCGCAAATCGTGTGCATCGCTCGCATATCGCAAGATCCGGGCATGTTTTTTTGAATACAAAGCATTTTTTCTCAGGGAACTATACCCATAACTCGCTAAATATTCGAGGGTGTTTGAGGAAACAGTTACCTATAGTCGTCGTTTCCGAGACTCATCTCCCTGTGGCGAGGACGCAGAGCGACCACCATAGCCCTCTCGCATATCTCGCGCCCGGAGAATATGTCCTCAGCCATAATGAGTTTTTCCTAAAAAAAAACCCTATACAAACCTCGCCAAAAAGCCAAGGTTGGTCGAGAGAATGTTCACCGATAGCCTTCGTTGCCGAAACCCGCCTCCCGTAGCCGAGGACGTTAGTTCACGCCCAGCAGCCCCGCGCACCCGCCAGCCAGCGGCCAACCCGTCAGCACCCGAGTGTCCAGGGTCGTCCACTCGCGACCCTGCAGAAATTTTTGCTACCTCGTGAGTGTTGTTTGGTAAATGTGTGTATTTTAGTGTGTTTTTATGGTGTTACTATAAATAGACTTGTTGTTTTGTCTTTTGGAACATACTCCCCCATTTCCCAATTTTTAGTTGGAAAACTAACTATTTCTCTCTCTCTAGTTTATATGTTTGAAGCTCCACAACTCATTTTTCCCGGCGAATTTCCAGTTGTGTCGTTTTTTATTAAAAGTTTCGAGCTTTGCACTCTGATTTTCTTAGAGCATGCAATGGAAGAGTGAGTACTTAGTTTTAAGATTATTGTTTCGTATTTGCTCCATTTTTACTAATGAAGCTTTTCAAGGTAATATTGGTGTCTTGCATAAGAATTTGGGTAAAGTTTGGATCTTTTTTTTTTTTATTTTTCTTGCTTGTCTAACGTGAATATGAGTTAAATGTATGCTTGTCTTGTGTTAAAGGTTGAGACTTTGTTTACAGTTTTATCATATAGTTTACAAGACTCATTTTTTACATCCTACGAACTTAGTACT